ATTGCACTTAATTTTCTGTTTGGTGTAATTTAATATTCAAATATCAAATTCAATATCAAAATATTGAATGTAATAATTAAATATTTGATTTCGTTTTCTATGATATTTTATTCTTTTGTTTCCTTTTACTACAGAAGTAAAAGCATTTTGCTTATACCAATCCCTAAGAATTATTTTTCCTTAATATTTGCTCTTTTAATAATTTCAATCTCCCAAGGCTATGGATGATCAGAAAAGGCTGGTCTTTGGCATCCCCAAATTTTGAATTATATGCTTAAATGTCAGAAATGTAAAGATGCACAGTAGAGAACTTAACCTGTAAAAAGTGATACATAATAAAGCTGCTATGTAGACTTCTGCATCAAGTGGGTATCTATAAGTATTAAGCTATTCTATCATCGGAATTGGACCTTTTTTCCACTATACCATTACAAATTGCCATAAGAAAAGTATATTACAATGAACAGTCACTTAAATTTCAAGGTGGCATAGACTGGTAATTATCACATGAAAAAATATAAAGGAACATCTGCATAACAGTTATAATTATGGAATTATATTCTATGCCATAGTGCAAAAGATTTTTTTTTCTGAAATTCTATCTCATTCAAATGCATTTGTGATTTAATTAATTAAGTGCATTTAGATCTTAAGATACAGAAGGATCTGGACAGACTTGAACACTGGGCACTAACTAACAAAATGAAATTCAATGGTGAAAAAAGCAAGGTCTACATTTAGGCAAGAAAAACCAAATGCACAAGTACAGCATAGGTGGCACCATGCTCAATAGTAGTACCTGTGAGAGGGACCTCGGAGTCCTAGTAGACAATCACCTAAATATGAGCCAGCAGTGTGCTGCAGCTGCCAAAAAGGCCAACACAGTGCTAGGCTGCATTAACAGAGGGATAGAATCAAGATCACGTGAAGTATTAATACCACTCTGCAATGCCTTGGTAAAGCCACACTTGGAATACTGCATCCAGTTTTGATCACCACAATGTAAAAAAGATGTTGAGACTCTAGAAAGAGTACAGAGAAGAGCAACAAAGATGATTAGGGGACTGGAGGCTAAAACATATAAGGAACGGTTGCTAGAATTGGGTATGTCTAGTTTAACGAAGAGAAGGACAAGGGGGGACATGATAGCAGTATTCCAATATCTCAGGGGCTGCCCTAAAGAAGAGGGAATCAAGCTATTTTCCAAAGCACCTGAAGGCAGGACAAGAAGCAACGGGTGGAAACTAATCAAGGAGAGAAGCAACCTAGAACTAAGGAGAAACTTCCTGACAGTGAGAACAATTAATCAGTGGAACAGCCTGCCTCCAGAAGCAGTAAATGCTCCAACACTGGACATTTTTAAGAAGAGACTGGACAGCCATTTGTCCGAAATGGTGTAGGGTTTCCTGCCTGAGCAGGGGGTTTTGTCCGAAATGGTGTAGGGTTTCTAGCAGGGGGTTGGACTAGATGACCTCCAAGGTCCCTTCCAACTTTATTATTATTATTATTATTATTATTATTATTATTTATCTGAAAGCTCAAGGCAGCATTCATTCATTCATAATTTCATTCACACAACATTTACACAACCACCTCTCAGATTGGACTGAGTGAAAAGGGGTGTTTACAGCAACAGTCACTGATTTCAAAACAGTGTCCTGCCCTTTTTAAACACTGCATATTCATTAAAAGCAGCTAATCTTAATTTTCTATGTTGAGGATGTCCCTCTGTGTTGAGGATATCCCTCTGAAAGAATAATGGATTCAAAGTTAGACGGTTAGTTTTAGTGATTGAGAGGAATTTTGAACCAATATCCAAGACATTAATATTGAAAACGTTAACTGGTACATCTTAGTTACTATGCTACCCTGGCTATTAGATGCATCCTGTTTTGTAGAGTGTGCACTGAATTGACTAATTTTCCTTGATGACTCTTCCAAGCATATGATGATTTTTTTTTACAGGAGTTTGCATACTTCGACTGTGATTATTTAATCAAAGCTCTTATTGTATTCATTTTTTTCACTCAACTGAAAAGCACCATTGTATCTGTTTCATTTCAGTCCATCCAAAAGTAAATAGACCACTAATATGTTTCCCTACATCTGTTGACTTGTAATATATCTTTATTATGGGATGCATTTAACATGAATAAATATTTGGATTTTTCATGTGTGTGTTTAGTAAATGCTTTGTTAATGTTTTAAAATATGGTCAAAAGATAAGGGGATGAAATTAAGTACAATTAAAGGATGTCAATGGAATCAGTTCTGAATTCTATGAAATATCCTCCCAAATAGAACAGAATAGAGCTGGAAGGGATCTTGGAGGTCTTCTAGACTAGCCCCCTGCTCAAGCAGGAGAACCTATACCATCTCAGACAAGTGATTGTCTAGCCTCTTCTTAATCATACATGATAAGAGATTGTAAAACTGGTGATAATTCTGGACAATTGGACAACTAGGCAATGCTTTTGTTTTTTCCTTTTTTTGATCCCAGAGTATCAAAGGAAACAATAAATTTGTTTCTCAGAAGTGAAGGCCAAGTAGAATTGGCAAAAGAAAACAATCATTTATGAACCAGCTCTCAGTCTCAATTATTATGCTTGTTATTCGGATACTGTCAAGAGATGACTCTATCAGCTTTTGAGAAGCTCTGAATTGGGCCAATATCCATGGCATTCTATAATATTCTACAATATTTCCATGCTTTTCATTAATGGTATGCAGGTCTTGAAATTTGTGTTTTAAAAATGACATTAGACAAAAGGGGGAAAATATACAGTATATATTTGAAAAGACTTTAATTGCTCACATTCATGAAGAAGCATGCAAACATCTGTATTAATATCATTAAAGTGGTAAAACCTGACCTCTCATTTTTCAAAAGTTTTCTTCATCTGCCAAAAAGAGTTCTTGCATTTCTGTCTTGTTCTCAGGTGATTTAACTTTTGCTTGCTTGTTTGTCTGTCGGGAGATTTGTTTTAAATTACATTATTTATGATTTCATTGGTTTCATTTTACAACATTAATAGCCCTCTGTGGTCTTCATAAACTCTGGGTAGAATACAGTAAAGTCCAAAGGATGTATTAAAAATATAGAAATCATAGAAAAAGAACCATTCACATAACTAAAAGCCAAATGCCCATTGGGGTCTGTCTGTCTGTCTGTCTATCATCATCATCATCATCATCATCATCAATCTATTATCTGTTTATCTATCCATCTATCTATCTATCCATCTATCTATCTATCTATCATCTATCTATCTATCTAACTATCTATCATCTCAAATTAATATACTGCCAAACTCCTAATGAGTATTTTATATTTGCAAAATACTGCTGGGTGCTCTAATTAATGCTGATTTGTTTATTTTTTTCATTTATACATCTTTGTCACTGTGCTTTGCTTTGGTGGTCCATGTTTTTCAAAGTTAAAACCTTCTCTTCATGGAATTAATTCAGATCATCCCTTAGAGTTTAAATAAGGCATGAAATAACAGAGATCATTGGAGAAATTATTTACTCTGGATGTTGTACTTTGATCTACCCTTTGGCCAACTTTTTCTTTCTTTGGTCAAGAAATGGAAAGCAATTTTAATTCTGTCAGATTGAAAATTGGAAACATACTGTCATGCATGTGTAGGAATGTGTGTGTGTTTAGTTGCTGAACAAGCATTTCTATTGATTAGAAGCACTGTTAAATTTGATGCTGAGAGTAAATATCATAACCTCACAACTTGATTAGACAATAATTTGATAATTCAACAGCAGCAACAGCAAAAGAATGTTCATTGGTAAAGTGATATGAAACTTTGGAGTTCCTCTGAATTCTTCATCAAATATTTATGTACGGTTATGTGTATGCCATGTTGTCATCTTTGTTTTTAAAATAAAACATGACAATTCTGCAGAGAAAATATGTTCAAATTTAGGAATCCATAACTCAGACTAATAACTTCAAAGAGACAGTGTGACTTATAAATTATTTTATGTTTTCAGGTTTCCAGCAATATTTTTAAACTTACTAAAACCACTCAATTTCTTGTAAGGGCTGCAACATTGTGTGTAAATTTCAAGACTTCACTCAAAATTCATACCCGGTTTTGCTTTCACGATCTCTCATCTTTATAGCTCTGACTATGTAATCAGGAGTTATACAATATTAAACATAAACAATGAAGTGTAATTTTTTTTGAAGATGTTATAAAACAAAAACAAAGTCTAGTGGAAGAACTCAAAGCCAGATATCATTAAAATTATCATATCATTTAGAATCATTCACTTGTAGCCTTTGGCCTGACTGTTATCACCATTGTTCCATTGGCCTCTTCATCCTAAGCTTAGACATACAGTCTAGTACAATATAGGCACATTTGACTTTATATATCCCATTCCATCCATTAATGTATGATTTTGGCTTATTGTGTCTTGTCATCCTGCTATTTTGCAATTTGGAAATATGCTAAGCCATGTCCTCCTGAGGAAGATCAAGTGAGGTCTTGGAGGTGTCTCATTTCCTTGGATTATTCCTTTAAAGAAGGTTACTTATTGAACTATTAACTTAGAAAAGAGAGACCATTATGTATTCAAAGAACAATTACTTACTTTGAAACTACTTGATTTGGAACAAAACGTACAAAAGGGGATCTCATAAAAAAATACAGGTGGCTGGGCTTTATGACTTACCAGTTTTATTTTTAGTGGTTTTGTTTATGTTTATATTAATTAACGATACTTTGTTTATTCCCAACTTTAGCTAGCATTTGATTCTAGCTGAAAATTATAATAGGTATACTGGAATCATGCAGATTTCTCTAAAGCATGCTTTGTTTGAATGTTTCTGTGTAGAGGGCTAATCTAGTTAAGCACCTATCCATTTCATTTGAACAGTTAATTCCTTCAAACACTCTTCAGAAAAATGTGGAAAATCTATGGATTTAATATTCAGCAGATCAAATCATTATAAAGAAACTCTGTCTTACTATGTTCCATTATTTCCATCCAGGCTTGAACACCTCATCCTACAAACATGCATCGGCGACACACCACCCTCCGGGAGAAAGGGAGGAGGCAGGCCATCCGAGGCCCAGCCTATATGTTCAATGAGAAAGGCACCAATTTGACATCTGAGGAAGAGCATTTCTTGGACTCAGCAGAATATGGCAACATCCCGGTGGTACGGAAAATGCTAGAGGAATCCAAAACATTGAATTTCAATTGTGTTGATTACATGGGACAAAATGCCCTGCAATTGGCAGTTGGCAATGAACATCTGGAGGTCACCGAACTTCTTCTAAAGAAAGACAATTTAGCAAGGGTTGGAGATGCCCTCTTGTTAGCCATCAGTAAAGGATATGTACGGATTGTGGAAGCAATATTGAACCATCCAGCCTTTGCACAAGGGCAGCGTCTCACTCTAAGCCCACTCGAGCAAGAATTACGAGACGATGATTTTTATGCTTACGATGAAGATGGAACACGCTTTTCCCATGATGTTACCCCTATTATACTTGCTGCTCATTGCCAAGAGTATGAAATCGTTCATATATTGCTCCTGAAAGGGGCACGGATAGAAAGACCTCATGACTACTTCTGTAAATGCGACGAATGCAATGAGAAGCAAAGAAAAGATTCATTCAGTCATTCTCGATCAAGAATGAATGCCTACAAAGGATTAGCAAGTGCGGCTTATTTGTCTCTATCTAGTGAAGACCCTGTTCTTACTGCTTTGGAGTTAAGCAATGAGCTGGCAAGACTAGCCAACATTGAGACAGAATTCAAGGTAATGTAGAAAACTTCTATACTTACAACTTTACTTTGTCTAATTGCATTTAGACTAGACTATATGTTAAGTCTATGCATGCAAATGTTATGTCTAGGTTTCTTTTTTTCAAATGGCAGCCATGGGGAAAAGAATATCAGGACTGAAACCAAGGTGAATAGGAGGAAAATATACCTATCTTTTTGTCATGCAGCAACTCTTCTGAAATTGATGTACCAAGTTTCCATTCAGCTTCAGAGGAGGACACTCCAGTAGATGACAATGGACATTCACACTTCCTGAAACCAGCAGAAGTTTTGGAAGGGAAGGCTAGTGGCCTGTAGCATGAACAAAAAAATAGATTAGATTTTCTTACCTGCATTCTTTAGTTGTAACCTTGACTTGAACCAGCCATCTGAAATATACATTCAATATGTTCTTCCTTTAAAGGAAAACAGTCTGTATAAAATAACTCAGTAACAGGAAATCTGATTTCAACCTTGTCTTCTTCTACATCTTTATGCTGAGGAGAGAATTTCCACTTGACAGGTTGACAAAACATAATATTTTAGATTTTCCAATTGTAAAAAGATGCATACTTTACAGACTATTGCTGTAAAAATTCACTGAGGCTGCCTGTATTTTATTAAAAAGTAAACAGTGAAAGAGAGACTGAAAGGTTCATTCTTTAAAACTTTTTTAAAGCCTTAGTTTGATGTTTAGTCACTATCAATTTATCATCCAGCCTTAAAATGACTTAAGGCAGGACTATTAAGAGAAAGACAACGATAACAGTAACAATTTACAAACAGTAACAAATAACAAATACAACAGTAACAATGATAACAGTTTTACTTGACAGATTGCAAGTATTGGAATTAAAGCATGAATTTACATGATTGTTACCTTAGTTTTGGGTATTCTTTGATATTATTGGTTTTTAGGTCCCCAATTCAGTTTGCTTTCGGACTGTGAGAATTGCATCTTGCCCATTGCTTCTGTTTATTGTGTACATTTTTCTTTGTGCTATTTGGAGCCAGGTACCATCCTGATGCTAGTGAAATGTGTTTCATACAACCTAGAAACTAGAAATGTCACACTTACTTAATGTCTAAATACAACTTACATGTCTTTAACTTGGTGCTTGGATGGAGAGGATACCTTACCAAGACAATGAGATGTTGTTGTTGGTGCCCTGGGATTTAGTCACATCAGTAACCACATGCTTTAAATATGTTCAGAGGGGCTTAAATTCATGCTTTCCTAAGGTTTAATTACCTCAGGCCTAAACCCTAAAATAGAAATGAAAAGAAATATAAATCATATTTAAAATGAAATGGAAGAGTCAGAATTGAGTGATAGGACACAAATACTGTAACATGTTGCCTCTTTTACCTTTGATAGAGAAATTACTGACATTAGAAAGTCATGGCTGTGGCCACAAAGTAACCTAGAGGTCTGAATTCTGTTAGCTTAAAAAGAAAGTAAAGTAAGTTTTGTCCAATAAAAATGACTTAAAGCAGGACTTTTATGAGAAAGACAAATGATGACGGTATATTACCAATTTTACTTGCAAGATTGCATGCAAATATTGGAATTAAAGCATGAAACCAAGGAGCACAGGGAATCCTTTTTTACCAACCGCCCCATATAGCGACTGTTCATTACCATCATGATGAAAAAGTAACTTTGTGACCAAACCTCACATTGATGCTCTTCAGAGGTCTGTAAAGCAAAGAAAAGCCGGGGTTAAGATTATAAACATAATAAGAGTTTCATTAAGCTACTGCTTTGTTTTACAACCAAGTTGCTGGTCCCAACTGTCGTCAACAAATGAGGAACTACTTCTAATTTACATTTATTTATTTAATTAATTTGTAACCTGCCTTTATTATTTTTACAAATAACTCAAGGTGGTGAATTTATCCAATTCACCTTCTTCCTCCGACTTTCCCCACAATAACAATTCTGTGAGGTGAGTTAGGTGAGAGATGGTGACTAGGCCAAAGTCACCTTGGCTTTCAAGGCTAAGGCAGGACTTGAAATCAGGGTCTCCCACTTACTAGTCTGGTGCCTTAACCGTCAGACCAAACTTGCTCTCTATATTTTATATCCTCTCATTGATGAAAATTAGCATGGAATGTTCCAGTGGCAAAATTTGTTTTGAACTAAGGAGAAACTTCCTGTCAGTGAGAACAATTAATCAATAGAACAACCTGCCTCCAGAAGCTGTGAATGCTCCAACACTGGAGGTTTTTAAGAAGATATTGGACAGCCATTTGTCCGAAATGGTATAGGGTTTCCTGCTAGAGCAGGGGGTTGGACTAGATGACCTCCAAGGTCCCTTCCATCATCATCATCATCATCATCATTGTCATCATCATTATTATTATCATTATTATTATTTAGTGGCATTTGCAAACCAAATCAAATTATATTAAGTACAGGTGATCCTTGTCTTACAATCATTTGTTTAGTGAATGTTTGAAGTTACAACAGCACTGAGAAAAATGATCTGGTCATTTTTCACACTTATGACTGTTGCAGCATCTCCGTGATCAAAATTCAGATGCTCAGCAACTGGTTCATATGAATGGTGGTTGCAATGTCCCAGGGTCATGTGGTCACCTTTTGTAACTCTCTGACAAGCAAAGCCATTCACTTAACAACCATGTTACTAACTTAACAACTGCAGTAATTTGTTTAACAGCTATGCCAAGAAAGGTCATAAAATGGGGCAAAACTCACTTAGCCGCTGTCTTGCTTAGTAACGGAAATTTTGAGCTCATTTGTAGTCATACGTCAAGAACTACCTGCATAGTATCTTTTGTAAATACTCAGAATTAAGAATAGGACTGACTTTAAGAAGAAGAGATAAGGTAAATGATACAAATAAATGTAATGATGCTGCTTTAAATGACACCATCAACACTCACATTTTTCAGGGTAACATAAGCAAAGGCTTGTACGTCCTCTCAAAAATTTTACATCTGGGCTTTGGCATAACTAGATGTTATTTTTAACTATAAAGGTGTGTGTGTGTGTGTGTGTGTGTGTGTGTGTGTGTGTGTGTGTGTTTATGTGTGTGTGTGCATGCGTTACATGTGTAAGCAAGCTTTCAAGTCTTGACTCCTGTGACTGGTCCATGAAGTTTTCTTGTCAAGATTTTTTGGAAGTGGTTTGCCACTGCCTCCTTCCTAGGGCTTAAAGAAACTGGGACTGGCCAAAGGTCACCCAACTGGCTTTGTATCCAAGGCAGGACTCCTGGTTCTCCTGATCTCCTGGTTTTCAGCCTGGTACTTAACTACACCAAATTGGTTCCTATAAAGATATTGGACTTTTTTTAATGTATAAACAAATCTGGTTTAGAGGCATATTTTTTAAAACAACAACAGCAACAAGAACAACAATAATCTTCCTGAATTGCATCAGGATAAGATAGGAAGGATCTGATTTGCAATGAATTATTGCAGATTATTTTTGAAAGGTCAGTTTCAGAAGGTGCTTCTGCATTCTTGTCGATGCCATAAATGTTCCCCTGCAATTGTCTGATGACCCAAACTCTATGTGATATTGCAAGTAGTCTTTGACTTACAACTGTTTGTTTAACGACCATTCAAATTTACAATGGCACTGAAAAAAGAGACTTTACAACCTGGTCCTCGCACTTACAACCTTTGCAGCATCCCCACAGTCACGTGATCGAAATTTGGATGCTTGGCAACCAGCATGAATTGGTTGCAGCATCCAGGGGACCATATGATCTCCACTGGCCAGCTCCCCAGCCAGCTTCTGACAAGCAAAGTCAATGGGGGAAGCAGAATTCACTGAACAGCTGCAGTGATTTGTTTAACAATCATGGCAAAACAAGTTGTAAAATCAGGTGTGACTACTTAACAACCGTCTTGCTTAGCAACAAAAATTCTGGTTCAAATTGTGATTGTAAGTAGGACTACCTGTATAAATCACTACTGGGAAAGATGCTGTGACAGTTTTTGGGTATGGTGGCTAAGGATGCTAAGGGTACCCAGTTCTATTTCTTGTTTCCATCCAAACCCAAGAAAACTGCTGAAGTTTAGAATCAGTGTATGATAATAATGATGATGATGACGACGACGATGACAACAACAACAACAACAATAGTTGGAAAGGACCTTGGAGGTCTTCTAGGCCAGGGCTTTTCAACCATTTTTTAATTTTCCCCTCTCTCTTTTTCAGACTACCATTAATTCCATCCAACCATGATTTTATTGATCTTTCCTTTTTTCTCTTGGCCTTCTTTCTTCTATTATAAATTTATTTTTCATTCAGTCATTATTCATTATCTTAATATGATCAAAGCACTTACATTCGCATTTAATTTACGTTCATTCAGTACTTCTCAAACTTATATCTTCTTGTTTTACTCTTAAGTAACCCCTTGACACTATATTTAACATGCTTTTATATTTCTCTTGACTTATTCAACTCTCATTTCCTTATAACAAAGAGGGCAGAAGAAAGCTCTCATAGAATAAGTCTGGCTTCCAGTGAGCATTCATTCCCAGCAACAGACCATACTTACGCTGTTTTTTCATTATTTTGTTTTCTTGGGCACAAGCGTTGATAGCAACCATTTCCATGCCACTCTTCAACATATCACTGAGATAAATCTCTAAACAAAACTTCTTTCAGTATTCTCTTATGTCAGTTCCCTCCCAAATAATTTCATCCTTTTTCTTTTGAATTTTATTCACTCTCCTGATGGTTATTTACCCATTCTGAAAAGATTTTTTTTAAATATAATATCAAAATACTTCTGCAGTTCCTCTGATTTAATTTGAATTGTTCTGTGATCTCTTGGATTTCATTTTTTGCAAGTACATTTTTCTCCCTATACCTGTGGTGACAAACCTATGGCATGTGTGCCAGAGATGGCTCGCAGAGCCCTCTCTGTGGGCACGTGTGCCATCACTCTAGCCCTGCCTCCCCCCGGAGGCCCCTCCTTACCAGCAGCCCCCCAGAGGAGAGTCGCCCCCAGT